TATATATATATATATATATATATATATATATATATATATATATATATGTGTGTGTGTGTACATATGAATAAGTTTATGAGTGTGTATATTTTATTTTTAGAATCAGCAAGAAAATGCATTTGCCAGAATCCATCAGAATGCCCTAAAGACTCCACTCCCTTGTGCGTCAGAGTAAACGATGACACCGTCCCCATAACCATGTCAGAATGCGAGTTGGGAGCCAGGCGGTGTGCTGGTGAGCAAAGCAATGTTATCAGTATAGAGGCTTGTCCAAGGAATTAAAAGGTTGATATAATATTTCTTTTTTGTGGTTTCATGATGTCAATAGTAGCAGTCCTTTTTCCTTTTTAAGATGATTCAGTTGTAAATAGATTCAAAGAATTTTAACTCTGTACTTAACATGGTTCACTGATGCTTGAAGATGTAACAGAAAATGTTATGTTGGGGATTGTTGCCCTGATAACCGTGACAGAATGTGAGATGGGAGCCAGACGTGTGCGGGCAAGCAAAGTAATCTAAATCAGTATAGAGGCTTGTGCACAGTAAAATAAATGCATTTTTTAAAAATAATAAAAGTTTGATATCTTATTTCTTTCTGCGGTTTCATGGTGTCAATAGTAGTAGTCATTTTTACCTTTTACTTTTTCAGATGATTCAATTTTATATGGATTAAAAAATATAACTATGTACTTAACATTGTGTACTGATGCTTGAAGGAGACTCATAATGTGGGGATTATTTGATTCTTATTTGAAAATTATTGATAAAGGATTTTTGGAAAACGGTTTCCACTGTCCTGTGTTTGTCCTTTATTTCGAAGTGTTTTGTTACTTTTCTTGGAATGAAGAAATCTTACAACACTGTACTAAATAAACAGTATACGACCCTCAATTGGTCAAGCATGCTATGTATCTTTTAAAAAAAAATAAAAATGTAGTTATAAGAATATTTCTTTCCAATTCACCCCAGCACAGCTTTCCATTCATTTCAAAGGTCTACCTTAATTTTTTGGGTGGTTTTAATTTTACAATAAAAGTATTAGCACTATGAAGAAAAGGTAAAAATAAACAGACTGTGCATTTCATTATGTCATTAGTTAATGTGAAACACATTCAGACTGTCAACTGTCCTCTCTGAGTGGATTAAAACAAACTATTGTACAAAAATGAATGTTCATAAATGGGTTAATGATGCTTAAAGGTTTGGGCATTTGACTTATGCAGGAAAACTGTATAATCAGTCTAAATGTCCACAAAATGTAATCCATTTTGTATGCTGCTTATTCTAATCATGGACGCAGGGGAGCTAGAGCCTATCTGACATTAGACAAGAGGCAGGGTACAACCTGGACATGTTACCAGTCCATCACAGGGTCACACAACAACCACACGCAGTTACATAAAATCCCAGGGCAAGAGTGTCTAATATGCACATTTTTGGAATGTGGGAGGAAGCCAGAGTTCTCAAGGAGAAAGTGGAAACAGGGAGAACATGTAGAATCCACATAGAAAGGGCCCACTCTCCATGGGGTCCCTTTTGCTGTAAGGAGATTGTGCTATGTTACCCCTTTCAACAATATTATTGTGACAAATTTAGTTAGGCAGCTTACTATCCCAGGTTTTTTTTATGTCATGACTGCTGCATCTCAATATTCCTTTTTGAACAATTCTTTATTCAACCAAAGCTATAAGTCAAATAAAATATCAACAAATTTAAGATGATTTAGTTTCTCCACGCTTCTGAAAACTTTATGTATACAGCCTTCTTTTTGGACATAACATCAATCATCATAGCTTTTTACAAAGTAATTGGTCATTTCAGCTGATAACAAAAATAGGAGCACTTTCATGAAAATAAAAGCTGTAGAGGTGTACATGTTTAATTTTCTATTGATAAGATGAAATGGACTTTTTAGCACCACGGCAGGGTGAAAAACCATTTACTTTCCATGTTTTTGTTATTTCTTTGTAGTTTTTACCCGCAGTTTTGAATTCCAAAAATATATGTTTTAAAAGTTTGATTGAATAGTCTAGCAAAATTCTTTATATGAAGTGAAGTAAACGTCAGTAAATAAATGCTCAAAACTTAAAGAACTAAATAAAAAGTGTGAACAGTCTCCAATCACAAACAGAGAAGCACAGCAATGAACAGATGGCTATTATCGCAGAAACAGCTTATAAATAAAAAATATGATTTTAAAAAATGGATACCCTAATTACTTCCCTTTATCAATTAAAAAATAAGTCGATGTCAGGGGGGTGGATCTTGATGGAGGACTCAGGCGCGGAGATGCAGAAAACAGGGTTTATTGGAACAAAAACAGGTTAAAAAACAGGGCTGTGGCAAAACTATGAGCAAAGTAACAAAGCAAGGTTAACAAAACTGTGGCAAAGTATCAAAACAAGACTGTGGCAAAAGCACAAACAAGATTAACATGGCAGGGGTCAAACAAGGCTATGGCAAAGTAATAAAATAAAGATGAACAAAACTGTGGCAAGGCTGTGGCAAAACATGGCTATGGGAAATAATCAAAACCTTACATGACGTGGGGAGACGAACTACCAGACATTCCCCCAGACGTGACAGTCGAGTGATGTGACACCTCAAAAAACCAACAAAGAAAAGGGCAACCTACTAATCAGAGCGGTAACAGAGAGGTCAAAAGTAACCCTGAAGAAGCCAACCTCATTTTGAACCTTAAATTACACCAACATGGGCAATTGACAGATTTAAACTTCTGCATAATGTTGTAGCCAAATACGATGAGAAGAAAACATCTCGTAGACTTGAAAAGCATGTGAAAGAAGTGTTCTAGTCTATTCAAACTGCTAGCCATCAAAGGTTGAAAGTGGCTCGTAAACAAAAGCTCTTGTCCCCTTTAGGACACAACCCACACAAGTAAAGTAAGGTGACGGTAGCATCATGCTGCAGGGAATGTTCTCATAGGGATTATCCTTCAAAATTGTTCAGAAGTTATGTGACGATTGTTAGCACTAAATACGGACATAATCTTGAAAAAAAATCAGTTTTTGTCCTCCAGATAATTGAAACTGGTTCTGAGGTTTACTTTCCAGCTTACTTTTCCAGCTCCCCACGTTTAAAGCAACATCCAAATATTTTTTGGGGACCAAACCAATTCTTAGACTTGGTTGGTTGGTTGAGCTTTTATCAAAAGACCGTTTGGCACAGTATTTTATGAGGACACATGTTAGTTGCAAAGTGTGTTTGGCTTAGAAATTTAAATAATTTCTTGTTTGTTTCACCCTATTGCTTGGTCTAAATGTCAGGGAGGTTATGTTGGGGAAAAAAAACAGAAGTCAGAGTAAGATGAGCTAAATATCTTTATATGTGTTTTAATAAACAATGTAGTCTAAGAGATTCATTAGTCTTTCAAACATCACAAACATTGTTCATCCGGTCATGCAGGGACCCTCATTGATAATTTCAAACTTGTAGCCTGAATATTTGGATGCAGCCATCCTACAGAGGCTAAGGCTCCGGAGGCTTTGGCTTTGTGTCAGCTTCACACAGAACATTTGGTCCTGGTCAGTCTTGACGCAGTCACGGCCATCTTTGACGATACACTGCTTAGATGCTGAAAACACAAGAATTGAATTTGTCAATTTGTTCGGACATCAACTGCTGCATGCAAACTTAATCTCTGGTCTCTAATTCAGCTTTAAAATCTAATCTCTTAGGAGGTTCAACCAGACAGTATTAAGCTAAATGAATCGCTAAATAAATTGAAAAATTATCAAGAAAATAACTTACCTGAGCAGGTCTCCCAATCATAACACACGTCAAGATCGCATGGTGCAAAAATAGTGCTCTTTGTTGACATCTGGGCTCTAAATTTAGCCCACTCCAGCTTGTCCACATCAGCTGGGTCGCACTTACTCTCGCTAATAAAGAAAAGTGGATCGCCGTGGCACCGGCCAGATTGGAAGGAGCAGAGGGACATTGACACAGCGACACCGAGGTCTACGTTCAGGATACAGAGCTCCTCCTGGTATGAGCTGTGCACACATTAACCCAAAGGTCAGTCAGCAAAGCCTAGTATTCAACATATATCTCATTGTATAATTGCACTGATAAGAAAACAATTGATTTTTTTTACAAAGAAAAAAATTTAGAGAATGAAAAAAGATGACAAAATGTTCTCTAAAAACTTACAGGCAGCTTTCCCTTTCAACACAAACGCAGCTAGAGCCCTGAAGCTTCTGCCCTGGGCTGCACTGACCATCAGGAACAAATGGTTCTTCTACAATCAGGAAAAACACAGAAAGATAGTAAATCAAACTTGTTTGCCATTTGTGTTATTTAAGACAACGTAATCTAAATTGTATTTCTTGTATAGATTGCACTCTGCACAGTTACAGTCTACATACTGTACCTTAATGATTGTATTCTAACTTTTAAATTATCTTTAGGATGTTTTTGATGTTTTTTAATTGTCATTTTCCCCTGTGTGCCCTTCATGTGGTCAGCAAAGAAAGGATATGATTGTACTGCAAAACATGCATGTATGACAATAAAAATTTAATCTTAACTGTAGAGGCAGTGTTTTCAGCCAATATTACTCTCTCCTAACAGGTGTGTGATTAAACTACAATTTCAACATCAATACCAATAATAAATGCCATATGATGATATCATTAAAATGGATACCTAGTACAGAGCAAGCTAGTAGAATGCAAGCTCTTTGGCTCTCTGGTCCTTGGTTTGGGGCGTACACATTGACCAGACAGTAGACCGAGCACTCGATCGCTGCCCTTACCGTCAGCAACTGGCCTTTTACCACCTCATTGGAGGACAGAACTCGAACGTTAGCATCTGCCTTAATCAGGACAGCTACGCCTGTACTTAGGGTGGTCCATGGCTAAAAGAGCTGTGGCCCTTCCACCATAAGCCCCAGTCAACCTTATCCACCCGAGTGGTGTGGGTCTCCTGCAGGAACAGGACATCTGTCCTGTTCCTGGACATACCTTAGTGACCAGAGCCCTTTTTTCCCTGTCCCTCCCTTCATTAATGTTCAAAGACCCAATAGTGAGACTCTGCATGATTAGGTCAGATACAGCTGAAAAAAATAGGGACCCAACAAGGAAGAAAAGCACCACGTGATACATGATCATTCACTTTCTAGCCATGTTCTACTTTTCTTAACCTTTCTGACTGCAGTCAATTGCCTTTTTAGGCGGAATTGTTTCATTTCATCAAGTCAATCAAAACCCACCTGCTTGAGCAGCACCCCCACACAGCGGATAATTTTTTCTGTGTCTGGGAAGTATTCACTGATGTTAGCTGATTTCTTAAACATTTTGTCCAGAAAACAATTAATTTCCTCCAGCGTATACATATCTTGACTTCTTAGAAACATTTCGCTAACTGACAGCAGGTTCTGAGTCAAACTCCATTTCTTCAGTCCTATCTGACATCTGGCTGCTCTGTGCCCCCTAATCCCCGAACAGCTGGCTGCTCGTCTTCCACCACAGACTGGGACTGGACCTCAGTCAGACTCTCCACAACATTTCCTTCCTGATTCAATTCAGTGTTCCCTAGTTGGTTAGTGGTTTTAACCTCAGTAGTGGTGGGATCAGCTGTAGCACCAGCAGCACCAGTGGGGACATCAGAGGACTCTAGTTCCAGAAACACATTGTCTTTCTTTTTGTCAAGATGTAGGAGAAGGTTGTAGAATCCAATGTTGTGATTTGGCGCTATGTAAATAAAGTTGAATTGAATTTAATATGACTTGAATCTAACAGGTTTATGTAGAGGATGTTGACTGCAGAATATGGAGGACATGAGATTATTAAAACAGGTAAAATTAGTGTAGCATTAAACCAGACAAAAAAAACGGAAACACAGGAATGACCAGAAGTGCAAAAACCAAGAAAATAGAACAGATGCAACAAAACGGAAAATCAGAAGGACCACGAATTAACACAAGATACAATGAAACACACAACTCGGGACCTTCTCTCAGAGACTATTTTCTGCATATGGTAATACTTTAGCATCTTTTACAATGCATAACCATGACAACAGGAAAGTTGTTAAACTGAACCCTCAGTTCAAGATGAGTAAATGGGATATTTCTAGGATTCAGGAACAAAATGGAAGAAAATATGACAGAGGGTAAAACCAATTTTTTTCCTGACCTGCAATTCCTTGTGAGTTTGCTTAATTCATTCTGGTTCGTGTTTACATTCCACATGTAAGATACTTAGAACAAGCACACAAACCTAATACTGCACATGGAGCGGACAAACATGGACACCTCATACAGACATACAGCGAGAGTTAATTAAATGGCAAATCAGGGAGTTAAATATTCTTGATTGTAACTCCATGATTAGCAGTACTGTCACGCCATCCCTGGTGCTTAACTTGGAAACTCTGACCAGTCGTGGTCCACTTGATTCCTGCTTTCAGACAGAAATCTCCGTAAACCTATAACGAGAGCACCTGAAATCACAGACCCTCTCTGGTACCTCAGTTTGCCTTCAGAGCCAACAGGTCTGAAGAAAATGTTGTCAACATGGCCTTCTACTTAATAATCTAGCAATTCTAGCACCAAGAAACCCACTCCCCCACTGGCTCAGGTGGATCTATTGGCCAGTCTCTCATCTTGTTCCTGTCTTAAAACACTGAAAGGGCAACCTCGTTGATTCAAACCAATCTGGGTTTGAAATTGGCAAGTCCAATGAAACGCGTCTGCTGGTTGTGACAGAAGCCTTGAGAGAAGCCAAAGCAACAGCTAAGTCATCAGTACTTATCTTCCTCGACATATCGGTTCCACATGACACAGTCAATCATGACCTTCTGTCTATACTCCCGAGCATGGGCATCATAAGGAGAGCACAAACCTGGTTTGAATCTTACTTCACTAGTTGATCATTCATTGTCCTGGCTTGGTCACACTTCTGCAGCGCAACATGACTAGGACTTCTTCTCTTTGCCATGTACACCACCTCACTGGGCCAGATCATCCGGTCACAGGGCTTTTCATACCACTGCTAAGCATACGAAACCCAGCTCTATCTATTGTTCCCACGTGACGGCCCCACATTCTCAGCACATATCTCAGACTGTCTCTCTGACAAATGAAAATGGACCTCCAACTGAATCTATAAAAAACTAAACTACTGGTTTTTCCAGCACCACACCAGTATATTCGCATCCAAACTGAATCTCTGTCTCTCAGAGGATGCTAGAAAATTTGGGGTCATTACGGTTGAAGATCAGGTTGCCTCTTTTGCTTGATCATGCCACTTTGCATTGCTAAACAAGAAGGATTTGGACATACCATTCATACCAGCATGCCACCAAGCTCCTGGTGCTTTTGATGGTTATCTCCCACCTTAGCTATTGCAATGCCCTACTGATTGGTCTCCCAACCTGTGCTGTACTGTACAAATGATCCAGAATGCCATGGCGCAGCCCAAAAAGTCCCACCTTATCTCTATTCATTGAGCTTCACTGGCTACCCATAGCCGCCCGCATTAAACTCAAGTTACTGATGTTAGCCTGCTTACAGCCCCCACCTTCTTGAATACTTTGGCAAAGGCTTATGTCACAACTCAGTCACTCTGGAAACTAATGGATTATTTTCTAGCAGTGACTATCACGCTCGAGACAATCCAGACTCTTTTCATGTCTCTTTCTACGATGGTGATATTACATTATAAGTACTACAAGAATAGGGATGTCCCTATTATCCTCAAGAAACTCTTGAAGACCCAGCTCTTTGGAGAGCATTTCCTCCCCTAACTCTGACCTTATGCGTCCCTACCCCCTCTACCAATCTCTCTGTACATCACTCTATCTCTTCACTGTTACCACTGTTGCCTTTGACAGAATCTGATTAGTGATTTTCTTCCAGGTAGCTTATTATCAGGTTGACTGTAATATTTTATCTGCATTGTAAGTCACTTCTGTTAAAAGCATCTGCTAAAAGCATAAACATGAACATAAACCTGGGCTCATCCAGATCATATGCCAGGATCCTACTTGTGGACCTCAGTTCTGCCGTCAATACCATCATTCCAGCTCTGCTAAAGGACCAGCTTTCCCTGCTCAATGTGCCTGACCCTACCTGCAGTTGGTTCACAGACTTCCTGTTGTACAGGAAGCAGCATGTGCTGTCTGGTAAGCATGTCACTGACCCACAGATCATGAGTACCTGGTCCCCCCTAAGACTGTGTCCTTCCTCCTCTCCTCTGTTACGACTGTAACAGCTTTATTCTCAGCTTTGGGACTATTCATGTTTAAATAGGAGAAGTTCAGGGCTTGTCGACAATATATGCTGTAATCCTGGACAATTCAGCAAACAGTACCAACTTTGTAACAACTTAACAACTTAAAGTTGTTCTCAACCTGCGCTAACTTTCTCTGTAGGACACCATCTTACATGCCAGCAGAGCTAAATTAATGGCAAAGATATAATGGTCACAAAAACAAACTGTTAATAAGCAGTTGCTTTGCAAAGTTGTGCATCAAGTGAATGTGTCTCTGTTTATTACTATAAATGAGAATCGAATTACATAATATTGTCTAGTATCTCATCTTATTTTCGACAGTCACAATAACAAATTATTTAATACTGTTTTGAACAGTTACCTTATCTGTAAAAAAACAAAAATTTGAAAGCTCAAACCTGTTGGATGACCATAATTTACAATAAAGGTACATCGTACCATCGGTGCAGCGTAGATTAGAAGGCATTGGAGGATCCCAGGTAAGACCAGTAGTGCAGGTGTAAAAGCCACGCGGCAGTGGCATTAAACCTCGCTCTTTGCAGTTCAGACCCACAGCATCACCCACTTTGTAGACGTCTTTGGTGGGGAACAACGTCATGTCATCAGGAATATTTGGAGGCGCGCAGAACTTCCCTAAAGGTTGAATAAGTGCAATTATAAATATCTTAAGCCCAGAAATGAGTTTGCTTATTTTCACAGTTTCTTGAAAAGGAAAACACATAGTTGCAATAACATTCCACCCAGATGTGGTGGAAAAACAGACTTACTCATGCATTTTCCTTTTGGCACACTCCAGGTTCCATCAGGAAGACAATTGATGAACTGGAAACCATCCAGGTCAAATCCAGTAAAGCACTGAAACTCCTCATCTTCCCCAAAGTTGTAATATGGTTTTGCTTTCTGGTTGTAAAGGAAATTATTCTTAGCAAGGAAGGAGTTAAATATACACATATACATCCTGAAAATCATTAACATTCAAAATGCACATCTTGAGCCACCCCTAATTTCTTTTGCCAGTTTTTTTGTAACCTTTTAAGTGTTCTTTGACTACGGCTTTCCAGGTTTTGTGAAAACGTTTCAAAGTTTTTATCTGGTCCTTGTACTCAGTCATCTTCAAAGGAAAGTTTCCTTTTCTTAGGTCTCTGCAGCACTTTAAAAAAAAAAATCACTGAATCATGATGAGGCAGTACTGTGTCAATGTCATGTTCCCCCAGTAATCTTTACAAATAAGGGGTGGTTCAAAATTTTGCAAAGAATTTTTAACATTAATGAAATAGCTGATTTTCCATGTAAAATTCCATTCAAATGTAAACAATTAGCTTGTCTTTGACAATCAATCTATATATAATTTTACCCTTAGAAAGCTGTTGGCAGGCCTCTTTGGCCGTAGACAACCCTTAAAACCTGGAGGTAGCTCATCCTTCCAGCCTATAGTAAAGTCATCATCATTGTCACATGATTCTTGTCTGCGCAGGACAAAGGAAACAGAGCATTGAACTCCAGTTTTTACATGTTTTGTGGTAAATTATCATGCCTGAGTGATCCTTGTTTATCCTACTTTTCGAAAAGGGAAACATGACACGGTTCTTCTTGTTTGTTTGGACCATTGCAAGGTTGGCCTCCTTTAAGGGGGGCAGGGTTGTTGCACTGCCTTGTCCGATGTCTCCTCATAAAAGCTCCACAGTTACTCCATGGCCCCCAACAGCTCCAGTAACCATCTACTGCATCTGTGGAAATAACATTACCAAACCTGGTCCGAACTATGTTTCAGCTTTAATGGGACATTGGCCCCAACAGCTGATCTCATGCGGAACACAGCATTGATAGTTCACAGTATGAAAGCACCGCACAAAATTATAATCAATTTGAAGTTCTGGAGTGTTTCCTCCATGACTGGAACTACAATATGTTATTGAACCCTAAAGGCTAGTGTATCTGTGTCCAGTAACAAATTATAAATGGACTTGTACTATACTTTTCCAATCAAAATGACCACTCAAAGTGGTACAATGAAATTACTGCCATCATTTCACTGTTAATGCATTAAAAAAATGCTTCTGAGAAATATAATATGGCACAGTCTCTACAGTCTTCCTGTCCACTTGAGATGAGTTTATTTAATAATAATATAGCTGCATTTCTGAGCAGAGTTCATATATAAGATCAGATTGAACTTCAATTATCCTTTTGGGAGAGTTCCCTCAATAAAATCAAGATTCCAGAAGCATCATTACAGCACAAACAGAGAATTTAAAGAGTATAAAAGAATTGTATTTTAAAGAAATATACAAACATCCAGCAGGAGAGATATTGCATATTACCTTTGCACTGTACTATAAGTAAAACCACCCGAGCACATTGCATACCTGAGGTATAGTCAGGGGCCCGTTTCTCACAATTAGTACCAAAGGTGCCAGTCTGGCAAACACACTGGCACTCTGTACCAGAGAGAACTGGTCTGGCATTGTTGGGACATGGGGCACATTTGCAGGTATCAAATTCTTCCAGGTACTGCAGCAGGGCTTTTCTCAAGTGTCTCCTCTTTGTGACAGCGCAGGGAATCTTACGTACCAGATCTATGATGGGAAGCAACTGAACCAAGATACACATATCAGTTTTTAAAAACAATGTCCAAGGACATATTATTGTGATGTTTTTTAGAAAAACTCCAGAGCTAACCTCATATTCAACCATGTCGGGGTTGTCAATTACCGACTTGGCCCATGTCTTGTAGGTTGATCGGTCCGGAGAAGGGCCCTGTCTCTCCCTGGCGAGTGCTGCTGCCTCTCCAGATCGACCCCCCTTTACTAAGGAGAAGGATTTCTCTGATGCTTGAATGAATGAGCCTGGATAAAAGAAATGTAAAGGAAATGAGCAAAGGACTGTCATGAGCACAGAACTAAAAAGATCAACATTGTATTTTGTAAACATATGTATTTTGTTTCTGGTAGGCTTAAGGACGGAACCTTCATATTTTTCAGTCATCCTGTTGTCAGTGCATCGAGTTGCACTGCTGTGTTCTGTGTAAAGAATGACGGTGAATGTGGTCTCTTGGCTAAGGCAGCCTTTGACATGCTCTTCTGTTTCACCTGTCAGCAGGAACAGTACACACGATTTAAGAGACGAAGGAACAGAGAGCAGAGATTTTTTCAACTCCAAATAGAAATATGTTTAGCTATCGGCTCTCACATACACCTTCTAGACTGAGTCTTTGACGAATTATCTATATTCTCACTGCTTTCGGGTCATATGTCTAGATGTCTGGACATTTTGGTTGTATTTACTATTTAGATGTTAATTTTACATCTTGCGGTTATTTTACCTGAAGACTTCATCTCCTCTCTGCTGTACTGGTAGAGCAGATCATAGTGACCCCCCAGTTTCCCTGAGCTATGGTAGTGTGTTCCAAAGCGCTGGAAGATGTCCCGGTAGAGCGCGTAGTTGTACTCAAGTGGAAGAGCATGGAGGAATTCAAGGAAAGTCAGTGAAAGTACGAGGTCATCCTTGTCCCTGACTTTATATGTAGAAACCGGAAGAACCTGATGTACTCGAATAAAGCTGGAGTCCTTTAAAGCAAATGATAAGAAATAGAAAGATTATAGAGCAGTTGCAACAACCAATATTTGTACGTGTGACCAGAAATGAATGTGCTTGTATATGCACTATATTGCCAAAAATATTTGCTGACTCATCCTAATAATGAAAATTAGATGTTCCACCTGTATTACAATAAAGTACGGGGCACGGTTATGTGGTGTTTAGCACCATCGCCTCACAGCAAGAGGGTTGTGGGTTCGAGTCCCTGGGGGAACCAGGACCTTTTTGGGTTGAGTTTGCATGTTCTCCCTGTGTCCGGGTGTGTTATCTCTGTGTGAAGGACTGGCAGACCATCCAGGGTGTACTCCGCCTCGCGCCCATTACTATTGGGATAGGCTCCAGTCCTCCCGCGACCCCATTAGGGAATGAGCGGTTACAATAATGGATGGATGGATGGACAACTGGGAATGACAACAACTCAGCCACAAAGTGGAAGGCCATGAAAACTGATGGAGCCAGGGTGGCAAATGCTGAAATATATAGAGCGCAGTGGTCATCAACTTTTGAATTTTTGACATACATCCTAACTTTTGGCAATATAGTGTAATTTTTTGGGGAACATGGTTCAGGCTATCACCAGTTTGAGAAGATTTATATCATGAAGATGGTGTGTCTGGTAGTCTTTTTTGTAATGTTTATTGTGTGCCCATGGAATACACTTTGTGAAGTAAAGTTTAGAATTGCAAATATATCAATGATGGCTACAGCAGGCACCTTTTTCTTGGAGGCTTCAAAAGCAGCCTTGCTAGTGGTTATCTTTGACTGAGATGATTTATGGAGAAGAAGAAGGATGAAGAGGAAGTCGTTGCGACTTGGACCATAGCTTGTAGATGATGAGGTGGACTTCAAATTGATGGCCTCACTGTGTAGCTTATGGGGCTCAGTGCTGAAATCCTCTGGTGCACCAACCTAAACAAAAAAAAATCTCAGAAGATATAAAGCAATAAGCAATAAAATAGGCAAACAAAGAAGAAGTTAAAAACAATAACATATTTTTCCCCACAGAAAACACCAAAGTAGAAAGCAAGCACTTTTAGAACCATGCACGTGGAATATTAAGCTTTTGTTTAAACATTGCAGTGGACAGAAAATATTTATTTTAAAAGACTACATTTTCAAAATGCCAATTGTGTTTAATGCTGTCATTCTTATTAGACCTGACAGCAGTTTGACTTCACGTTTGAATTATTTTTATTTTGGATGTAGATTCTTTTTTGTATCTGCCTCACTGATTTGATATTGAGTAATATTGTGCTGAAATAGACAGGAACACATAACATACAATGATTGCAAAACTTTTTAGTATGCATTTTGTATGCTTTGATATATATATATATATATATATATATATATATATATATATATATATACCCATATACATGTCACTGTTTTTGCTGAATTTTGCTTAAAAAAAAAGATGCAGATATTGCCAGATATTATTTTAGCAGAACTTGTAAATAAAAGTGTCTGGCTTCAATTTCACATAAACTAAGCAAGACATGTCTGTTATTTGTCATATATGATAGCTTTATCTTTATATATAATTTCTTTGTAGCTGTTATATCTCTTTTAGATGACAAGGAATCAACTGTACCATTTTTTTTCTTTTAACAAATGTTAGCGTAAAAATAAGACGAATCGATTGCCATTTTCCAAGCCTTTTGTAGCCTTGCTATATAGTTTTGTTATAAAATTGGCAGAAGACATTCATCAGATCCTGATACATAACAATTCTCTATAGGGTATTTCAATTCTTTACAAACAAGTAAAAGTCTAAAACTTTAGAGAAAAAATACAACATTTTGTTTACAATACTACTGAAAACAATAAACATGCCAAAGACTAAATGTGAGATTTTACTTCCACCTTTATATTGGTTATAGTCTGACTTTATTTATTTTCATTTTTATTTGGTTACATTTTTTCTGGGTTTTCCTCTGTTTTTCTGCATATGTACCCACAAATCTTGGAGACACTGTCATGTGACGATGCTCACACATGCTTCTCAGATGACAATGTCCACAGCCTCACTTCTCAATCTAATTGACCAACACACCTTTCTGTGGTCAGTAGAGGAAGAGGGTTGGGCAAGGGCTTCTCACTCACTTCTTATGTTTTGGCACATGTATGGTCATGTCTTTTCCTTCAGGCAAGGTGACCTTTAGATCTATTTCCCTCACATTTTCTTGTCAGCTAGCCCCTGATTTCAGCCAAATGATTCAGGCTAGGAGCCTGAGTGACCTCATATACCGCAACATCTGGATGTACCTGTCCCCCTCTCTCAGAGGAGATGAGGAGGGATGACAGAGATAGCCTGGATGGGCTGATTGGCCCACACCTTCAGCTGTTCTATAAAAAACCTTGAAAGGATGTTAGAGGACGGAGAAAAAGCACATGGCTGTCTTTCTGCTCACTGGTTGGACCGACGCGACCAGAGGCAGATGTTCTCTAAGACAGCAGCAGCCAGCACTTTAAGCCCTCCTTCACTTGCTGCTAGTCCTCCCCCCACAGGTGCAAAACCCTGGTTTTCCCACAGATCAGCCACCTGCTCCCAGTCCAACCCAGTCCATGAGATGCTGAGGAGACCCAGGAAGTTGGATCTGGGGGCAACAGCCGAAGCAGGGAAACCCAGACTTCTCCTCTCCCGCCACTTCTGCCAGCTCCTCCGGGGGGATCCCGAGATCGTTTCCTGGGTCTACCTCTGGGCCTCCTCCCGGTCAAAAGTGCCCGGAACACCTCACCAGGGAGGTGACCAGGAGGCATCCTTATCAGATGCTCGAGTAACCTCAACTGGCTCCTCTCCACGTGGAGGAGAAGCGGTTGTACTCTGAGCCCTTACCGGATGGCCTAGCTCCTCACCTTATCTCTAAGGGAGAGCCCAGCCACCCTGCGGAGGAAACTCATTTCGGCCGCTTGTGTCCTTTATCTAGTTCTTTTGGTCACTACCCAAAGTTCCTGGCCATAGATGAGGGTTGGAACGCATATCGACCAATAAATCAAGAGCTTCGCCTTTAAGCTCAGCTCTTTCTTAATCAGGACAGGCCGGTACAGCGCCCACATTACTGCTGACGGCACACCGATCCGCCTGTGCCCCCATTCGCGGACAAGACCCCGTGGAGTCTGTGGGCACAGCCAGAGACTTTAACACATAAGTACAGATCTAAAAGGAATTAGACAATCAGTAATTTACATAGATTATGTTATAGCATACTATGCTAAAGTGAGTAATTATGTCCAAATTGTAACAATCCCCCTTTTGACATAATTTTATTATGTCAATCAAAAGAGGTGATGTATTGTGTCTCAACCCCTTGCATTCGCCTCTTCTACAAGTACTCAAACTGTGAGTAGCTCTGGCTCTGGTCGTAGAGGGACCTAAAAGCCCGCAAAGGGCCCCCCTGTAATTGGAACACACTCTACGGTCACCCTTTTTGAATAGGGGGTCCATCACCCCAGTCTGCCAATCCAGCGGAACTGCCCCTGATGTCCACACGATGTTGCAGAGCCAACGCAACCCTACAACATCCAGAACCCTGAGGCACTCCGGCCGGATCTCATCCACCCCCGGAGTCCTGCCACTGCAGAGCTTTTTGACCACCTTCGTGAACAGATGCACCTTGAAGACGTATGGAAGTCTTTTTAGATGAATCCTCCCCCACCATCGGAGCCAACTCACCACCAGACATGGAAAATGTTTGTTTTCCCTGAATTAAAGGCTGTACATTTTACCCTCAAGGTTATTGACATCTGGTTTGCTCCCACCTCATCTGTTTCTCCTTCAGCTGCTCTGCACACATCCCCTAAATGAAGGGAACTAGTGTCCTTTAACCAGTCAGCGAACAAGCAGCACATCGTCACGGTTGCATATTTGCTAAACACATAAATTGTGTGCAGCTACGAGCACACACGCACACGCTCCTCCATTCCAGGTATTACTTAGTGAAAAACCTATAGTGACAGTGTCTGTCCCCTGGTCCACAAGGGTAAACAGAGGAGTTGTGCATAAATACCTCATAAAAATTTGAAACCACAAGAGAAACAGTGCATACAAATAGGAGAGTAAAATGTGGACTCTTGAATATTTCTTCTAAAGGTGTGCTAGTAAATGAACTAATATCAGATTATGAAATTGATTTATTTTGTCTTACTGAAACCTGGCTGGGTGATTGAGAATATGTGAGCCTAAATGAATCCACCCCTCCCAGTCATATGAATGCTCACATTCCTCGAGGCACCGACCAATAAGTGGAGTTTCAGCTATCTTTGACTCCAGTCTTATAATCAGCTCCTTTTTAAAGCTAAACTGAATTATAACTCTTTTGAAAGCCTTTTTCTGAGTCTTTCCCACCCAAGCTGGAAATCGCTGTCACCTATTCTATTTATTATAGTGTACCGAGCAACCGGTCCGTACTCTGAATTCTTATCTGAATTAGCAGTTTTTTTTCAACTTTAACAAGTATTATCGTAGGGGACTTTAATATCCATGTGGATGTTGAGAATGACAGCCTCAGTACCGCGTTTATCTCTCTGTTAGATTCCATTGGCTTATTATCTGACCACTGTTTGCTAACTTTTGAACTTTTACTGCTGAATTACCCTCCACTGGGTAAAAATGTCTACTCAATATGCCTGTCTGATAGTGCTATAGATAAATTTAAGGATGTTATTCCCGCAGCTCTAAATCCAGTATCAGGTCACACAGAAACAGAGGACTCTTATGTTAATTTCAGTCCCAAGTTTATCTTCTTGTTGATAGCGTTGAAGGCTCGCTGTGAACAGCACTCAACGCTGTAGCCCCCCTAAGAAAGAAAATACTTAAACAAAGACGGTTAGCTCCATGGTATACTACTAAAACCTGCAAATGAAAGCAGATATCTCGGAAACTTGAGAGAAACTGGCCTTCCACCAAGCTGGAAAATTTTCGTTTATCTTGGCAAGATAGTCTTAAAACCGCTCTGAACTGGTTTAGGTCCTATTTATCAGACGGTTTTAGTTTGTGCATGTTAACGATGAGTCCTCAATGCATGCCAAAGTAAGCTATGGAATTCCACAAGGATCTGTGCTCAGACCAATCCTCTTCACATTATATATGCTTCCTTTAGGTAATATTATCAGGAAACACTCTTAACAACTTTCATTGTTATGCAGATGATACTCAGTTATGTCTATCGATCAAGCCACACAAAACCCATCAGTTAGTTAAGCTTCAAATCTGTCTTCAAGATATTAAAACTTGGATGACCTGCAATTTTCTAATGTTAAACTCAGATAAAACTGAAGTTATGGTTCTAGGGCCTAATCGCCTCCGTGATGCATTATCTAGAGATATAGTTTACCTGGATGGCATCACCCTAGCCTCCAGCACCACTGTGAGAAATACCGGAGTTATCGTTGATCAGGACATGTCGTTTAACTCTCACATTAAGCAAATTTCAAGATCCGCCTTCTCTCACTTATGTAATATTGCAAAAATCAGGAGCATCCTGTGTAAAAATGATGAAGAAAAACTAGTCCATACATTTGTTATTTCTAGGCTGGATTACTGCAACTCCCTATTGTCAGGCTCTTCAAAAAGTCCGTCAAGACTCTTCAGCTGATCCAGAATGCTGCAGCACATGTTCTGACAGGAACCAATAAAAGAGATCATATCTCTTCTGTCTTGGATTCTCTGTATTGGCTTCCTTTAAAATCAAGAATAGAATTTAAAATCCTTCTTCTTGCATACAAAGCTCTTCATGCTCAGGCAGCATCTTATCTTAAAGAGATAAAATACTGCCCTACCAGAATTCAGGTTTACTAATGGTTCCTAGTTTTCAAAAGTATAATGGGAGCCAGAGCGTTCAACTATCAGAGTCCTCTCCTGTGGACCCAGGTTCCAGTTTGGGTCTGGGACGCAGACACCATCTCTACATTTAAGAGTAGGCTTAAGACTTTCCTTTATGATAGAGCTTATACTTAGGGTAAGTCCACCCCTAGTTATGCTGCTATAGGCCTAAATTGCCGAGGGATTTCCCTCTCCTTTGCCTCCCAGTGCAACATCATTCCATTAACAATGTTACTAACTGGAGTCCCGTAGTCGTGTGCTTTCTTATCCCCCTCCTCTCTCCTCTCTCCTCTTATCACTTTCTGCAGATATTCCTGGCTCTGGAGCTGTGGGGTCTGGATCTGTGGTTGGGAGTGTCCTCTTTGACTTCCTACAGGTGTTCCTAGAGCTGTGGAAGCTGGATCTGTGGTTGGGAGTTTCCTGCTGTCCGCGTTCCTACTCTGCTACAATTACAGCCACTGATCAAAGTCTTATTGCTATCATTACTGCTATCATTATCACTGATATCATTATCATTAGTATCAATATCATTCCCATTTTTCATCCAGTGTCTGTGTTACTGTGTAGGCTGCCTCTCTCTTCTCCCTCTGTCCTTCTCTCGCCCTCCCAACTGGCCGAGGCAGATGGCCTTCCACCCTTAGCCATGGTTCTGCTCGAGGTTTCTGCCTGTTCAAAGGAATTTCTTCCTTGCCTGTGTCGCCTAGTGCTTACTCTTGGTGGGAATTGTGGGGATTCTGTAATCAACTTCAGAGTAGGGTCTGACCTGCTCTGTTTGCAAAGCGCTGTGAAATAACTGTTGTTGTGATGTTTAATTGAATTGCTGGCTAGTACCGAATTCCCACGAATTTCGAACCCTGATCAGGATGACTGATGTTCAACAAAGGGCAACATATTTCTACTGTGTGGTGGAGCAGTGAGCTGGATAAGCAAAAAAAAAACAAAAAACAACGGCTGCACTTTCAACAGGAGAAACTGAGTATATTGCTCCCAGTCAAGCAGCTCAAGAAGGTACCTGGCTGAGAATGTGACTGAGTTATCTTGGTATGATCACCATGCCTACAGTGCAGTTCTTGCAATCGCCAAGGAATTCGGTGGACCATTCAAAGACCAAGAACATAGACAGATATCTTCATGAAGCCTCTTGCAAGACAGAAGTTTCAGTATCTTAAAAAAGAAGTTGGACTTTTTCTTATATAAATATGTAATAGAATATCTTGCTATATAGTATATAGCATATAAATATATATCAGGGTATGAAATTCGCTGGAATTTGGCATTAGCCAGCCAGACCAAAAGTAGCGAGGAGCCCGATTGGTACTATTCTGTCACGTGGGCTCACGCATACTATATCCGAATATTTCTTCGTAGCCTCGCGTCATGTCGCGTGCATATTTGGTGCTGTAATATAATATTGTTAAAAACGTTTTCAGTTCCTCTCGCTTGGCAGCGCAACCACGTCATGCCTCAAACGATTTAATAAAAATTATGATAAACTGCAAGGTAGCATGGCGGGACAATTGTATTTCAAACGAGAATGTTTGTTTTTGTTGATTCCCTGTTCATTTTGCATGTATTTGACATAAAAACTTAATTTGCCAACCCGTCCTACCCCACGGAGTTGAGCGCACGACGGGCTAACAACTATATATGTATATATAACATTTTTTTCTTTTAACAAAAGAAAAAAGACAGAAAAATGTAAACAAAAATTACTTATAATGTAGTCTTGCAAGTTTAGTTAAATTTCAGCATTATATAGTGTCTTAATACCATTTAAAAAAAAATCATCTAATTGATCAGACCTTATTTGTCCTGTTAGATTGGAGTTAAAATGGTAAGTCTTTGACAAAAAAGCAGATGGCATCTCCAATCAGTCAAAACAGCTCTCAATGAAGGTTAGGAAACTTTAACAAAGAGTACCTTCATTTCAAATTTCTCAAAGTTGTGAGGAATGCGATGGTAGGTGTTATAAGTTGGTGGCCTCTTGATGATGCAATTTCCTCCCATAAACATATTGTCAAGCACTGCTCCCCTTGGCTTCTCTGCAAGAGCATCAAACCTTCAAACACACATTAATGTGGGGTCACATTTAGTCTTGGCTATAAGTATTGACTGCATTACCATTTTAAAACAGTTATTTGATCGACATTTGGGCACATTTCATGTTAAAAGTATAATCAGCTTACCCATTTCCCACCAGGCCAGCCCCAGTAGCAACTGTTTTGTCAGCTGCGCATACAAAGGTAAATCTGCCACAGTCCCTCTCATCTGAATTATCTCCACAGTCATTCTGTTTGTTACACGTTAAAGTGGAGTTGATGCAGCGCCCTGGATTAGAAGAAACGTCTTTAGATGCGTTTGCAGTCGTACATTATAAAAATATATGGAAAAGTACGAGTTGAGGAAAATAGAATGTTTTCTTAATTTTGATGTATGGAATATATAGCATATAAAGAGCACTACTTACCATTACCACACTTGAAATTATCTTTACAGTCAATAGGTGGTAGCTTGCACTCATTTGCAGGGTAACAGGGTCTCTCCTCTGCCAGCACCACATCACATGCCGCTCCACCAAACTGGGAAGGCCTCTCAACAGCACGGGTACGAAACTATGTCAGAAATAGAAAAATGAACACTAAGTTGAATGGAAACCCTGCATGATAGGAGATAGAATTGAAAGCAAATACATGGTTTGGTGTGAATATGTTTTCCTTGCCTGTTTTTTGGCACAGGGTGAGCATTCAGACCACGGGCTATACTCTGTCAGCATGCAGTTTATTGGACATGCATGCTCATTACATGCTCTGGTGTCATATTTCGCACACAACTGATGGCAGCTGTTCTTCCAGTAATAGTCTTCATCGCGAGTGAGCCTGTTTTAAAAGATTTGGAAATCTTGTTTGGATCCATGAAGAACAGCATTATGCTCTCAGATAAATCAGCAATTAATTAAAACAGTAAAGAAATGAAAATTCACTAGGATAGCAATGCAAACTTTAGTTACAAACATAGAAACTATGACTTGCACTGTATATGTACCATCTAAATCTGTGCTGGCTCACCTTTGTCTGTTCTGAGTACCGTGGTTGCAGGTGTTTGAGCAGACGGACCATTGGGTCCATGGGTATCTGTCACAGAAACATGCCAGTCCGGTGTATATGCAGCTCAGAAGGTGAAGCAGCAGGATCAAGCTGCTGAAAGGAGCCATCATTGGAGCTCTAACTTTTCGAAACTCCCCCGAAAATCAGTTTACACACCTATAGTAAAAAACCATCCTTGATTTATTTTAAATAAATACAAAATGTTTGTTTATCTATATGCAAGGAACCTCAAGTTTGAAGAATGTTAAACAAGTTAAATGGTAATATTAGCATGTAATAATAAAAACAAAAAGAAGATCGATTAGAGAAGTTAGACTTAAGAAAAGTTACTCACCACATGCAATGATGTCCTCCTTTTGCAGGTAATGATGTCCTGCTCAGCAACTATTTGAACAATACCTACTCAATAAAGCTGAGATGAATGTAGTCTGTGGTTTCTGCACTGCAGGCAGATCAGTATCTGAGGGTTGCGCCTGGTTGACTGCAGGCTTATTAACTGGACTGCGATTCCCCCGAGGACATAGCTTGCTTAGGGGCTTATACTGACCAATCAGTGTCCAAAAATACATCTGAATACAATTACAAAAAATAATCATAAAACAAAGTACATAAATCTTTTATTAGACCCCTTTTCTCCCCCTGTTACGGGAAGAGCTCTGGAGTTTCCCAGCTGCTGAGATGTAAACCAGATGTTCTGTATCACATTTCTTCAGGAGAGGAACTGTTTTTCCTTTCCCCAATTTTCACAATCTGGAAGTTGAAACAATTAACCCATTCTTTTGGTTCATGCTGTACATGGTGCATAAATTGTTTTTGGCTCAGTTTATACCACTGCAAACACACACTAAACCACATCACAGTATTTTATATTAAACTTTATTGGTCTTACAAAATTCCCGAGGCTGTACATAAGTTAAGCAGTTTTTTTTAGTTTGCAGGACATGTGCCAAATCAAACCAAAGATCCAAAGATCTACACATCATCACATCATTTAAAAAGGAAAAAAAACAACTGTACAAACAAATTTTCAAATTTTACATTGATATACAAATCAATATAAAATTAATGGACTGCTCAAGATGAATGACTTCTGTACCACATTGGATGTTTTTGGTGTGTGTTTGTACCATTTTATCTCTCTTTTTTTCTTTTGGTGTCTGGAACATCTGCATAAACTCAAGCAGAAAAATATTTTTCTCTTTAGTTTTTGGAGGGATGACTGTTGACAAAAAATACATTAAAAGGGGACATTATTTGAGAAAACACCAGTAAAAAAAAATGTGGGGGAAATATTAAGATTTTAAAAAACAACTCTAGAAAAAATATTTTTCTAACTGAATTGTTTGACAGTAATGGAGGGTAAAAAGGAACATATGTTCTTTTTCCCAGAACTTTCTGTACTACCAACTACCAGTGCCTCTATTTTTTAAGACTTGCCTATATAAGTAATAGTTAAAGTCTCAGCTATACTAAAGGCAAGGTTTGCATTGCAAGACATAAAAGCATAGATATGCAAATTATAAAATTACTTCTTTTTAAGAAAATATTGTGGAATCAATTTTACAGTGTTTTTCAGTTCATGACTTGGAAATCCAGATTCCATGATGCTAAGTATTGAAAGCAAGCAATACTGGATCCTAATCCTAAAACTATACTGGAAAAACAGGGCTGAATTAGTTATTAGCTATAAATTATCCATGTTACTCAAGCATCGTGATTAATTGTCAAAACCTATCAAACTTTGGCTGTTATTTAGACAGCAGAGGAATTTGAAGGAAAAAAACTCAACAGGGCCTTTTTATGCTTGGACACAGATGCTATGTCTTTCAATGTTTATATATTTAGCAGTTGCTTTTATCCAAAGCAACTTACTAAGTAGAATATATACATGTGTATCTCCCCGTTGGGTTATCAAACCCCTATCTCCTGTGTGACAGCCAGGGACATGCACCACTACACTGATGAGGAGTATGTCTATAAAGCTCTGCAGAGGGTATGTTTTGGCACTGATAGAAAGCAGGCTTAAGGGGCCAACAACTGATTTCAAAATACAAAGTATTAGTATATGCATAATACAAAGCGCCAAAAACAGTAAAGGCTAGAAGGCTAGGTCAAAAGCACAGGAAGCAGCCAAATGACAACAAACCTTTGTAATTTAACATTTGGTTCGACTCCACATCCAACGGATGAGAAAAGCACCAACACAGCTTGAGCAACTCACAGGTTGATATACGTGATCTGATAACTTGTAGACTCGGGTAAATCCTTGAAACTAACCATACTACAATCATAAATGGCCAAAGATAAACATTTTAAAAAACCTGACTTGCACATACTGAATTTATCGAAAGCTTAAGAACTTTTGTCCTGGACAGACTAACTGACTAACATTAATATGTGATACCAACCACATCCAACAACAAAAAAGAAAAACAGAAGAAAAACAAAAGCTGATATAAGCAAGATATGCATAATTAATGAAAACACATTTATTTTTCTCTTCCTACACACATTTATCTTTAAACTTTAAATTATTTGTATCTACAGAAGGAGAATTGTGTGCATGTGTGTGCGTCATACTGGACTTGACTTTTCTTTGTGCATGGTGTCAAATATCAAGGGTTGGCAGACTTATCAGTCTTTACTGAGACATCCCTAATTAAATATAAAACAAGGCATGAAACAAGCCCAGCATGACATCTCATAACCTAAAACACCTGGGCATAGACTCTGCACTTACCTTTGAACTTAAATATAAATATATAAAATAAATAAATAAATAAATAAATAAATAAATAAATAAATAAATAAATAAATAAATAAATAAATAAATAAATATTTTGTGTGTTTATTAATCTTTTTCAAACTTATTTTTTCAAATCAATTGCAATCGTTTTTTAAGCAAGGAAGCTGAAGTTGGAAGATTTAACAAGTTAAATGGTCATATTTGCACTTCATAAAAAAATAAATGAGGTCTTAGAGATTAGCTTGGAACTTTTCTTAAAATTAAAAAAGTTAAACTTTAGAGAACTGAAAGTCACCACATAAAATTATGTCCTCCTCACAAGTGATTTTTCAAAAAGTACCCACTACTTGTAACTGTAAAGCAGGAACAACATGTTCTCAATTTTGTTTACTATTAACTATCATTTGTTGGTATCTGAGAGAAGAACGCTGCGTAAGTGCTATTATTATAGACAATAGCACTCACTCTCTCCACTAGGTGCCAACCTTCCAGTGGAGCATCCTAAGCAACAGACTCCCCCCCCC